GGGCACCGTATCATTTGGCACCGGCGGAGTTAAATGAATTGAAGGAGCAGCTTTAGGAACTCCTTGATAAGGGGTTCATTGGTAGGCCAATATGGATGTGTGTTCTACATCGAGTCGGCTTGGTTGACTCCGAGTTGTATTGTTGAGGGATGTGTTGATTCAATTGTTATTGAGCTTATTAGTGATCTGGGGAGATCTATGAGTTACCTTTCTGTGTTGCGAGGTGTTGGGACTTGTTGGTTATAGGCACATGTGGTGCGAGTTTATTGGGGTCTGTTAGTGGAATTCGAGCGGGATGAGTATTGGGTATTGCTCGGCGGATGGCATATCGGTTGTGTCCTTTTGGGTTTGTGTGATGTTATGTCAATTGCTTCGCAGTGGTTATGATGATTGCTTTGGTTCTAGACATTAAATTCCGTGTGGTTGTTGATTTGAGCATAGTGACTTGAGGTGTTTCATGTTGGACCAGTGTTTGGATGAGGTCGCACATTGGAGCGAAGCTATGTGGAGGTATGATCCTGCGGGATAGATTCATGTGTCCTGCTTCTACGGCATGTGATGGGTTCTCAGCATTGTGTTGTGGTGGTACTGGTGAGCTTGCGGTATGGCTCTTTTATTCGGGTCATTTTCATGATTTGAGTACATTTAATTGTTGCTTATTGGTGTGCAGGTTGCACGAGTTGTGGCTTTAGATGGTATTGATTTGACATGTCACCAGAGTATCGGTGTTGGGTTAGATGAGATCATTGGGATCTAGAATGAATACAAACGGATTTGGTTTCAGGATGTTGGAAGGATAATATCGAGGTCCGGCTTAGAAATTTACTATGGTTCTTGCCAAAGGAGAGAGAGCTTCACGAATGGTTGATCTGAGGAATAGTTATGACTTTCTATGTGTTTTATTTGTCATTGGCAGTATATGGAAGTGTTGGAATGTGGCTTTATTTGATAAGAGATTTATTATCGATATTCAGTTGTTCTGAGCAACTACTATGATCAGAAGTTATCGCTATGAGAGTTTGAGTTTTGTGGTATATCATGTAATTGCATCTGAGGCTGCAGGGATAGTTTGTTACAACTGGTTCGGGCTTATTCAGAGTATAGATGTGAGATTCTGATATTGTGGATGATTTCAGAAGTGGAAATGTGGTTCTAAGGTTTATGGTCTAGGTTGGATTGTGAAATTTCAATTACATTGTGTTATCAGACCTATATTAGATAGGGTGATGTGGGATCACCCCCGGGTATGTGCATGGTAAGGTTACACAACGATCTGATGTTTTTCGGAACAACTCTAGGCACGTTCGAGGACGAACGTATGTTTAAGTGGGGAAGGATGTAACGACCTGACCGGTTGTTTTGAGCTTTTGCACTTCGCTCGCTAGTTCTCAGGCATGGCTAGCCCTGTGTGATTTATTATGACTTATGTGAATTGCCGGTTCTAGTTTTCAGGGTAATCAGAATGAATTCGGAAGAACAGTTCTCATTTTGAAGCTTAAAAATTTGAAAGGTTTGACCAAGTTTTGACTTGTTAGTTTATGATCTCGGATTGGAATATTTATGATTTGGATAGCTCCGTTAGGTGATTTGGGACTTAGAAGCGTGATCTAAATATATTTTGGAGGTCCGTGGAAGGTTTAGGCTTGAATTGGCGAAATTGGAATTTTGGCATTTTCCGGTTGATAGGTGAGATTTTGATATAGGGATCAGAATGGTATTCCGACGGTTGGAGTAGGTCTGTTATGTCATTTGTGGTGTGTGTGAGAAGTTTCATGTCATTCGGACGAGGTTTGATAGACTTTTTGATCGAAAACGGAATTTGGAAGTTTTTGGAATTCATAGGCTTCAATCCGATGCAAATTTGGTGTTTTAATGTTGTTTTGAGAGTTCCGAGGGTTGGAACAAGTTTGAATGATGTTATGGGATGTGTTGGCATGTTTCATTGAGGTTCCGAGGGTCTCGGGTGAGTTTCGGGTGGTTGAACGAATCATTCATGTTGAATGAAATTGCAGAACAACTGATGTTGGTGTTGCATATTTTTGACCTTCGCGTTCGCGATGGATGTCCCACGATCGCGAAGGGTTAGGATGTGAGGCAGTGGAATTGGCCTTCGCGTTTGGGAAGGTGGTCCCGCATTCGCAAAGGGCTGAGGCTCGTGGTCATCGCATTCGCGAGGGTTTAGCCGCGTTCGCATAGAGGAAATGTGACCAGCTGGGTCCAGGTTAGTTTATTCTTCTCGTTCGCGAGGGGTAGCCGCGTTCGCGTTGAGTTGTGAAGCTAAGGCTTCGCGTTCCTGTGCATGGGGTCGCGTTCGCGATGAAGGAAAAGTGGTCAACACAAGTTTGTGTTTTGCGAACGCGAGGCGTTGACCGTGTTCGCGAAGAAGGGGTTTGAATAGTTGGGCAGAATGTTTTGAAAGCCCATATCCATGATTTTGAGTCTAGGTTTCACCATTTTTGGCTGATTTTAGAGCTTTTTGAGGAAGATTGAAGAGAGAATCAAGGGGAAATACTCGGAGGTAAGATTTATAGACTTAATACTCAATCATAATGTGATTTCTACCTAATTAATCATGGAATTTGTGGAATTTAAGCCTAAAAAATTGGAAGTTAGGGCTTGGAAATTGGAGACCTAAATCTAGGGATTTGAGAAGTCATTTGTGGTCGAATTTTAATGTACTTGATATGTATGAACTCGTGAGGGTGTAAGGATTATATTGATGTAAATTTTGTCGGATTCCGAGACATTGGCCCAGGGGCGGGGTTTGGCCAACTTCGGGATTTTTTTGTATAAATTGAATATTTTCGAATGGGCTTTGTTCCCTTAGCATATTTTGATGGTATGAATCTGCTTTTTGGCTAGATTTGGAGCATTCGGAGGCCGAGTCGAAAGGCAAAGGCATCGCGAGCTAGAGTTTAGACTGGATTGAGGTAACTAATGATTGTAAATATTTGTCCTGAGGGTGTAAAACCTCGGATTTCACATCGTTGTGCTATTTTGAGATGACACACACGCTAGATGACGAGCGTGGGGTCGTGCACCATTGGGGATTGTGACTTAGTCCGTCCCGTATGACTGTTAAACCATGTATTTGGTTGAAAACTGTTTGCTATCATTGTGTTTTGGAAAGTATTATCATGTTTTGGGCTGAATGCCATATTTGCGCCTCGTGCCAACTGTTTTGGACCCTTAGGGGATTTTTACCATTATTCCTCAATGTTTTAACTTCATATTTGTACTCAGTCATACTGTTTTCTACTGTTTTCATAACTCAACCATATTTACTCCATTTTGATATTTTAAATGATATCTTTGGGCTGAGCATCATGTTTTACTGTTGTCCGAGTGGCATGAGAGATTTCTGACTGAGTGAGGACGAGGGCCTGTGTTGTGAGGATATTATGGGATCGGGCTGCGCGCTGCAACAGTGTGGTACTGATTTATGATTATGAGGCCGAGAGCTTGATTTGTTATGCCATGAGGTGGCTTGATATGAGGTCGAGAGCCTGTTTGATTATGCCACGAGATGGCTTGTTATTTCGCTTGGGCCGTAAGGGGCCCCTCCCAGAGTCTGTACATCCCCAGTGAGCACGGGTACCCAGTGTGAGTGAGGTGATGTAGCCCGAGGGGTTGTTGTTTGATTCATATTGTTGCCCGAGGGGCTATTGTTGATTCATATTGTTGCCCGAGGGGCAGCTCTTGATTCATGTTATGCCCGAGGGGCTGATTACGGGTGATTATGAGGTAGCCCGAGGGGCTGGTTCTGTTGATGATATGCCCGAGGGGCGGTATGTATTACATGTTTTGCCCAAGGGGCTGTTTACGTTTACTATATATTTTACTCACTGTCTTATCACTCGTTTGAAACTATTGAAAGTTGTTTTAAAAGGTTTTTTTACCGAAACTGAGCATGATTTTTGAAGTAAATGATTTCTGTACTGTGTTGGAAATATTCTGCTTTTGTTGTAGCATTTTGACGTGGTTTACGTATTTTTTTACTACTCAACTTTCATTTATTTTTATTACTTACTGAGTTGGCGTACTCACATTACTCCCTGCACCTTGTGTGCAGATTAAGGTAGTTCTGAACCCGGTAGCGGGTGTTGATTCCTCAATGGAAGAGTCATCGGAGTTGGCAAGGTAGCTGTCCGACATTCGCAGCACTGCTTTTCTCCCTCTTGTCTTCTTTAGACTGTATTTAGTACATTCTTAGACTCTTGCTGTATTCAGACCTTAGTAGATGCTCATGCCTTGTGACACCCCGATGTCGGACTTGTATATTATTTCCGCACTGTTCATTTAGACTTACATTATGAGACATTTGATTAATTAAAGGCTTTAAAATGATTCTTATTGATTAATGGTTAATTCGGGAGTTGTGTCGGCTGGCCTAGTATTACGATAAGCGTCATCACGATCGGATCGATTTTAGGATCTTGACATAGATAAAAAATAGAGGTAAGATCTGCATATACCTTACTCTTCCCAAATCCCGGATTAACACTCGAATGTTGTTGTTGTTGTCTGATAGGATTTGAAAAGCATTCAAATTGCAGTGGACTAACATGATGAGTGTTGATCACGAATAAGTAAAATTTATTTTAGAACAACAACTAGGCAGAGTGGAAATTACTATGCATTTCTAAACGGACAATTTAATCATGCCAAATTTCCATATCAAGAATAGGATTAAACAGATAAATCCCAAAGAAACTTCAGATATTATATATGCTAAATTATAACAAATCATGTAGTACAGTAATTCAACTGTTACTGGTTGACTTTTGCTATATCATAAATTCCACTGACACCGATGTGGGATTAAATTCTAATTATATGTTTTCCATATCATATAATGAGACATAAATTTCTTTCAACTCCATCATTTATTTGTTTGATATGGCAATTCCACTTATTCTTGCCTCTTCTGGTGGAGTTCCCATCTCTAAATTAAATAATACGAATAGTAATTACATGACCTCTAGATTCACTCGCTATATAAACAACGTAGAAATTTTCATAAACCTCACAACTAACTTCAAATATTCTCTAGCACTTCATATCTTTAGCCAGGTATGTTTATATTTCACAGTTAGTACATTATATTATGCCTTTTATAAGAGAAGAAAATATCCCCGTTATGCAACAATATACATCTAAACACTTTTAAAAGTTGTGATGCTTAGCTTCATGAATAAGAAAAGCATGTAACAAAGGAGATTTTTATTAATGGTATTTCAAGCTTGAAACAAGCATGAAGAGATTAAATATATTTCTTTATTTTGAGTTGTTATACAGCATTGGAAAATCAAATTATCACTGTATTTATTCACCTTTCGACTTCTACTTCCACCAAAATGTCGTGCTTAAGACATGAGAATTGGACGGCATATCTGTTATGTACTTTTTTATAGCCAGTATGTTGATGATCCATAAATTCAGAGGCGCATCCAGGATTAAAATTTTATGTGTTCAACTTTTAAGGGTTTTAGCATTTAAACCGTTATATTTTCAAAATTATAGGATCATATCTACTATTTTTGTAATTTTAATAAATTTTTTACATATAAAATTTTCCTCCGCGTCGAAAATCATGGTTTCATATATTGAACCATTTAGTAATACACTACATCCCCTGCATAAACTTTAATTGCTCCTTTTTTTTTCTTTTGAAAATTGTCCGCAGTCATTTTCTTAGGGAAAGCATCTATTCACGTTTGTAGTTGCATAATCAACGACTAAACTCATCATTTATTTATCATTCTTAATTCACAGGGGCAGATATAAAAAGGATACATAATTATGAGGACGTTCGTTGTGCTTGTTTTAGTCATGTTGGTGATGACTTCAACCTTGGCCACGAGCAGGAACTTAGTCCAGAACTATAACGAAGCCGATAATGGTTTCGGGCAGGGGGAAAATAGCAGCGTGAATAATCACCATTATATACCAAGGCAAGACTTCAACAATGGTAATGGAGGTGATGTTCCTAAAGCAGGACATGATACAGATGCTGGCAAGTTCTAAAAGTAACCTAGTATACCTTGTATATATGCATGGTATAACTGTAGTAAATAGGAATAAAGGGTAAACTTTCATGCATATATGCTCGTGTTTTGTTAAGTAAAGTTGGTAGTGGTTATTTAACGTTCCCGTGTTTGTTTCTTGTAGTGAAATATGTTGTTGTTTTCATGTTGAAGCTTTGTCCATATAACTACAGTACGACTTTGCTATGACAGTCATCTTTTATAACGGTACTTCATTATAATAGCCAAATTTTCTTTGGAACTGATTGTTCATGCTATATTATAATATATGTTCTCTATCACGCCACTTTACTATAATAGCTAAAAAATATCCGGACAAATTACATTATTATAAAGAATCCGGACAAATTACACTATTATAAAGAAGTTTGACTCTGTATATATAGAAGTAAAAAGTACAAATTACACCAGTTCGTATCAGTTTATTTTATATACAAAGCTTTGGCATATCACTCGCCCTATATGATCAGTTTACTCTCCATACGTTATTAGTATTAATTATAAAATCTCTAATATAAGACAAACGTAGCTTATAGGTTTGTGATGGTTTAATTTCATAAGCGTAGCCCTCTTTCGACTCAGCTCAACATCAACGCAAAGTTAGAACACTTTTCATTTTTAAAGTTCACTAATTATCAAGGTTGGGTTCATTAGATTATAAATATCACAGTCCAAAGTTAAAGCACAACCTAATTCTCCCTTTTGGCATCATCGAAAAGTTGCATAACTATGTTAGATAACCAAATTTTTATAGAAATTATCCATGGCCACTAGAGCTACTTCAAATGCAATCATGGAATCAAGCATCATCTATCAATATAAGGATATTAGCCATCTAAAAAATATCAACAAACAATTAGAGCAAAAGCAGTGAATTTCATTGATTGATAAGATCCTACCACAAAGCATAAGAAGAAATAAAAACACTAGATCATGAGCAAAAGAAACAAAAAAATCTCATCTGGGTCACTGGTTGGTCTAACTAGGCTAGGAGGCTTAAGGCTGGAAAGGACCAGGTTCTTGCTTTTTGGCTTGAAGTAGCTTCAGTATATCCTGAAGAATGCCATCATTCTTCTCCTTCTCTTTTGCCAGCTCAGCTCTGAGAGCATTTCTCTCAGTCTCCACTTCTGCCAACCTCTTCTTCAGCCTTTCAATTTCACTCCTTAGCCACACTTTCTTGCACCAAAGCTCGCACTTTGCTATTCACATGTACCTTTTTGGATGAACCTGGTTCGTTGGGAGTGGTTTTGGACTTTATAGTCACAAGTAGTTAGAGTGTTTGCCCCAAAATGATCCTTGCTTATACCAACTTCCCATTTCTTGATGGGTACCTTGAAGTGTGCAAGTACAGCGGTGAGAATAAAACCATAGGGTATGGCATGGGTTTTGGTGCCATTCAGAACCCTATCAAGAAGGTGGATGATAAATCGAGGCCAATTGATTTTCCTCCAACTTTCCAAACTTTCTATAAGGACCGGGTCCATGAATGTGACAATGTGCCTCCTTTCCTGCCTTAGCAGCACAACTTTGTTCAAAATTCAAACAACACTTTGTGGGGTGACTTCAGCTCACTTTTGTAAATAGCCTTGGGCTCAAGCTCCTCTTCATTGTCACCAAACTTCCTAGTAATGGCAAGGGAGGTAGGGAGATTCTCTAGACTTGGCCATTTAAGTTTCTTATAATCGTTGTACCCTTCAGCAGGTATACCTAATATCTCTCACAGTTCTTTATCATCAAAACTCACTATCACCCCTTTTACCACGTTGGTAACCCTACCATCTTTATCTTACATTTTGCCATGAAATCCACAATCTTAGTTCTGGCCAGCTTTCCATCCATCTGAAGGACCATGTCCTTCCAACCTTGCAATTGTAATTTCTCCAGCAACAGTAAAATACCTTCCTCCTCAAGTCCCTGAGTACACTACCTTTCAATATGGTTCTCTTCCTAAACTTAACCATCTTATCCTTCTCAGCATCATATTCCTTTTCTCCTTCCCCACCATTCTTCTTCGTTCATTCTTTTAACTTTTCTTGATTTCAATGCAGACCTGGCTCTTTTAGCCAAAGTAGATGGCTCCGCAGATTTTGTTTTTGAAACAGACTTCTTTGTTGAAGTCTTAGCTTTCTTTGCCTTTGGAGTCACAACCTCCATTTCTTCTGTATCCTCTTCATTCCGAAAGACCAGGTCCATCTCATCAATTTCAACTACCTCAACAGGCTCAACTGCCTTCTTCTTTACCTTAGCAACATCTTTCTTCTTACTTTCTTCTAAGGTCTTTTCTAGTTCAGCATCACTTTGCTTCTTCTGACTCCTTATAGCTCCTCCTCTTGTAGGAGGAGTCTCTACAGGGATAGACAAAGTACCCTTTCTTTTCTTGTTTGCCCTAGAAGTACCAGGGACTTTGACTCATAAACTCCTTTTTTCTTTTCGTATTGTAACTGTCAGATACCTTTCTCAGTAGGTCTGCGAGGGTTTCCTGCTCAGACGGAATAGGTTCTTGAACATTTTTCCCTAATCGGACCAACCCCTCAACAACTTCTCCAGACCCACTTTCTTCTATTTCCCTGACACTCTCTTCTTCTCCCGTAGATTCCTCATTCCACACTACCATAGCACGTGATTCTTTTGTTAAACCAATAGGAATGGGTGAAGATTCAGCCACTCCTTTTCTCATTCCCCTCACAGCACTTCGAGCACCCTCACTCTTCTTTTATTTTCTCTTTTTATTTTTACCACCAATTTTCCCAGCCTCAGTTGTTTCAACACCAGCCATAGTACCTACCAGAACAAATCTAGTTTCCAGATTTTTAGCAACCTCAAAAATGATTTCAAGAGTAACTTTAGGGCCAGATGTTACCTGCTCTATCTCAGAAGAAACAGTTTCTTCCCTCTCAGTAGCAAACTTGAAAGATTCATCAGATTTTTGGGGTTCTTCTTCCTGACTCGCTTTCAATTGTTCATTTATTTTCTTGATTTGCTCTCCACCAGCGACAACCTTGCACACCATCATCTTTACCCTTTCTCTCTTAGATAGGGGTGTGGTAGAAGGTGTAATAGATGGTGTGGGTGTGATTTCCTTGGGTGGTGATGAGGGATTCTCAGAGGGGTTTTCCATTTTTGTGTTTGGGTATAAAAGAAGATGGATTTGAGTGTGTTTGGAAGATGAGAGAAGATAGAGAGAATTTTAACGGCTTGAGAATTAGATGTGAATAAACACTAAGGCCTAATCAATTTAAGAAGGGGGTATTTAATTGGGTAACGATAACCTTTTTCAGAAATCTAATCAAACTGAAATTCAGTTTGAAAAGACGTTGAAGAGTGTCCCTAGAATCTAGGCACTTAATGTGATTTTGGACTCTGTTTAAATGAAACAGGTTCATTTCATAGGACTCTCCTCTTAATTGTGATCCAAATATAATTATTCCAAAATATGCAGAGTGGAGAATATGTACCAAGTAATCTTGATAAACCAGGTTCTTCACCGTCAAATCTCTTGTGTAAGTTTGAATTTTCCAAGAAAATAGAGATAATATAATTAGATATTAATAAGTCATTTTAGCACATGGCACAAGAGTATACTGATGAAAGTATGATACTGAGCAAAATCTAATCTAGTTATGTATAAAAACTCACAATTTTCTAACCAATTCGAGTTAGAACTAGTTCTTTTTAGGTGATCTTAATCATCCCTAATTCTAACATGTTCCTTTCAAAATGATCTCTACTTAGAGTTTTTATGAAGTTGTCAGCTATTTATTTGTTAGTAGCACAAAATTTTACAGTGACCAAACCCTTCTCATACTTATCCCTCAAAAAATGATGTATAACATCTATGTGCTTAGTTCTCTTATGATTAATCGGGTTCTTGGTCACACTAATTGCACTATTGTTATCACAAAATATAGGGATACAACCTACATCAATTCCAAAATACATTAATTGCTGTTTGATCCACAATAATTGAGCACAACATGAAGCAGCAACAACATACTCAGCTTCAGCAATAGATAAGGCTACATAATTTTGCTTTTGGTAGCACAAGACACAAGATTCAAAGTGTGCCAAACCTGAGGTGATCTTTTTATCCACAAGAAAATCTATATAATCAGCATCAGCATATCCCACTAAGTTGAAATTACTACATTTTGGATACCATAGACAAAGGTCAGTGGTGCCTTAGGTATCTCAAGATTCTCTTAACAGTAGTCAAGTGAGACTCCTTTGGATTTGCCTGAAATCGAGCACAAAGGCCTATACTGAAAACAATGACATGTCTGCTAGCAGTGATATATAACAAAGAACCAATCATTCTGCTATACAAATTCTGATCACCAGATGAACCAGGTTCATCTATATCCAATTTTGTGGTTGTTGCTATAGAAGTGTCAATTTCTTTGGAATCTTCCATTTTAAACCTTTTAAGCAACTCTTTCACATACTTCTGTTGATGGATCATATTTATATTTGAGTTTTGTTTAATTTGTAAGACTAAAAAGTTAAGATCACCCATCACACTCATTTCAAATTCACTCCCCATTAGTTTAGCAAATTATTTACTTAACTTGTCAGTAGTTACTCTAAAGATTATATCATCAACATATATCTGAACTACCAAGAGATCTTTACCTTTTTCTTTCAAGAATAAAGTATTGTCAATTTTACCTCTCTTGTGGTCATGCTCAAGCAAAAATTTTGGTAGTCTTTCATACCATGCTCTTGGACCCTGCTTGAGCCCATAAAGCGCCTTGTCAAACTTGTACACATGATCAGGATATTCCTTGCTTTCAAAGCCCAGAGGTTGCTTGACAAAAACTTCTTCCTTTAGATAGCCATTGAGGAAGACACTCTTGACATCCATCTGATGGAGAGTGAATTCCATGTAAGCAACAAAGGGTATAAGAAGTCTAATTGATTCCAATCTTGCAACTGGAGCAAGGGTCTCATCATAGTCTATACCATTCTCTTGACTATATCCTT